TTTTTTTTTTTTTAGTAAATGAAATATCATAAGTTCAACTATTCCAGTGTGATGAAGTCAATCTGTAACCTCAGTAATACTGTATGATAACACAAAGCATTAGACTTATCTTTTGAATGTTAAGGAACAAATTTACAAATACTTCTCCCACCAGTGTTATTCTGGAAGAGGTATTTCTTAAGTTCATAATAAAATGTGTAAACCCTATGACAATAGTAGCTATATCTGAGAACTTCTACGCAATTACAGTGTGCAAATACTTTGGTTTTAAAGGTTAACTAGCAATATTGGATCTCCAAGTGTTTTCACCTTTGACATGACTGTGAAACTATCTAAAAGCAGAAAATAAACTTGGAACAAAAAAATAGAAATTGCACAATAATATATTAACAGTAATAATTATGATATTATGCCAGGCATTGTTCTAACACTTCACTTGTATTATCTTAATTCTAATAACAATCCTTTGAAGGAAACTGGACTACACAGAGGTTAAGCTGCTTGACCAGGGTGTCACAAAAAAGTCATAGAAACAAGATATGAACTCAGGACTCTGACTCATGAACTCATGACTCTAGAGCCTGAGTTCTTAGCTGTAGTAATATATTTCCTCTCATTATGGGAATGTAAACTCAGGATTTGCAGAACTGGCTTAGATTATGTGAATAGAATACTTTTTTGTCCAAGATTATCTTTCTCACAAACATTCTATATTCCATAGCCGTAATCTCTTGCAAGTACATGAATGATAATATCAGAAAATACATTTTTGCTCCAAAACCAAGAATGTCTAAAAACTCAGCTCTTGGAGAGTGAAAGATGGATGGATAATCCTCAACATTTAAGCTATTTAAGAGTTGTTTTTCCAATTCTGGAGATGACAAAAAATAGTCCACAATTGTAAAATGGCTGGCCAATTTTAGGAATGTAGTTTGTGAGAACGAAACACATGACCTTGGACTTGTGCAGAGATCAGGCTCACAACCTTGGCCTCATTAACAACAGCATGCTATAATGGCAAAATAGGTCAGAGATTGAAAGGGTTAAGAATGAGAGATTTGAAGCTAGAAATTCATTACATTGAAATTACTGGGTCCTTTCAACACCCAGTAATACAGAAATATTTCTTGTGATGGAGAAATATTGCAATTTATTCTGTGTTATAAAGCACCCATAGATGCTTATTTTGGTAAAAATGTATTTGTGATTTTTTTAAAAAAGTGCCAACAGAATTTTTACCTAGATAATCTTAGACATCATAAGCTCTCCGAGAATTCATGAGCTAAGAAATTCTTTATGTAACCACCACCATGAAAAACATTGCTTAATTTAAAAAAAACAAAAAACACCCAACTACGCACACGGGGCTTACCAACAATACACTTTCTCCCACATTCTGCCCACATCGAGCAAGGAAGGAAACATCAAGGCACAGCTCTTTCCAACTACCAGAGTGGGATGCATAAGGAAGTCCCTCCAAATGAACAGTTTCTTACCATTATCATGAAAATCAAGATCTTTATATCGGTCCCTATGGTCTATCATTCATGAACTTACTAACATGCTCTCACATACTCTCCTTATTTAGAATCAGTTTCTAAAGTTAGGTTTTTGGCAGATTGTAGCTTCATCACTTACCAGCCTGGCAAATGAAATAATGCCCCAGTGAGCACAAGCCTACTTTTGAGGAGATTCGATTGGACTTTCTGGACATGTAAGTGCAGCTGGTGGGCTTTGTGGCCCAGTGGTCTGTGACATCTGTGAAAGAGAGACCAGACCCAGATGAGTCTTATACTCAAAGTTAAACATTAAAAAAAAAAAATGAGACCAAATTTTGCTAGTTTTCAATAGATAAAAATTTAGGATTTCCCCTCACATATTATAGATTGTTTATTTTTTCATATTATGTGTTTTTTTATCACAAGGCTTAGCATTACTTTACCTAGATTTCAATGAAGATGATTTTGATACAAATGCCTCGGATTTTTCTCTAAGACCACACGATTATGGTGCATAATTTTGAAAATATCTATCTAAGAAAGACAACAGATAAATAATTTCTCTTCTAGTTTCTGCATAAGGAAACTTGTAGCCAAGAACTATGAAGAGATATTTACCAGGAAAAAAGTGATCATAAAAGGTTTCCCATTTCAGAATTTTGCACAATACTTTCAGTGAAATATTAACTTTTGATAGACTCTGAGAAAATCTCATCATTTTTGCTACACAGATAAGTCAAAGGCTGTAGCACAAAAGTGAAACTATTTCAGAGGAATGATGGTAATGAAGTAAAGTGACTGATTTTTCTGAATACAAAGGAAGAAAGATTTAAATTTTTCTCTCTCCTGTCCCAGAATAAAAGCAAGGAAGTTTCCTTAATAAACACTAAACCTCAGAGCCTTACTTGGTTTTTTTTTTCTGTGATATTTTCCCGGCAGCATTAAATTTTGCCCAATCCACCACTTCTTCCCTTCTTCCAGAAAGTCCCAGATGAGATCTTGAACCTCCTGGTTCCAAGTGTAAGCAAGGTGTCCTCCTTGGGCACGGCAGTAATTTTCTGCTTTCTCAAAGCTGCAGTGAAACCTGTTAAGCTGATAACAGTTATTTTTACCATGTTGCTCTGGGCTATTTAGCTCAGTTCCTAGAATGATACTTGTTCTGATGTATAACCAAAGCCAGGTTCTTCTTTTGAAGAACATTTTCTCTGTGAACCAAGAGCACGAAAAGTGTGGAGGCTCAGCAGCTGCCTGGGCCTTTAAATATATTCTTTGTGTGTTTGTCTTATGTATTAGTATTACTTGTTTAAGAATAGGGAATAATTTGTCAAGGAGACAAAAGCTTTTGTTTTGTTTTGTTTTAAGGACCCAGGTGGAGTTCCTGTAAGCTGAAAACAAAGATCAATAAAGCAATGGGCCTTTATAGCTGGCCACCATCTGTGTCTACACAACTGGATATGCCTTCAGCTTTATAACAGATCTTTATTTGCTAAGTCTAAGCTGTAAGGGAGTACAGAATGATGAATATCTTAGTCAGTGTTACTGAAAATTGAGTAATGTATTGTGTTTTCTTAAAAAAGAAAACCACCATAAAAAAAAGAAAACCACGGATTTAAATTATTGTAGTTTCTTAAATACATTCACTCTATCCTAAATCTCTTATATAACTCTGTCCTAAATGTTATGTAACCATAAAAGCCAAAGAATAAATATTTAATGAAAAAATGAATACAATTCAATACAAACAAAACTGACAATCAATGAAATTCAAATTTGCTGAACTAAATAGCCATTTGTCAGGTATACGTGGTTCCAGCCTACAGCTGCATAGATTCTTTTAAATTTGTCACGCAGTAGGAAAGAGTCAATTCTCTCAATTTTCTTTAACTTGCTGAAAAAAACCTGTCATTTGGTTACCTATAGCACATTCATCATTTATGTATTTTAGCCAGTTCTCTTTCTTGGTGCCAAAATGTGATCATAAATACAAATAAATGTGGGCACTGAAATCATTTGGCAGGTTTCAGAGTTCAGCTGGTTATCCAAATGATGCTTAAAATTACTCTTTAAAATCATTATGGACGTGGACACCAAAATTGAAATTTTTCTGAAATGTTGACCCCAATACATCCCTCAGTTTTAAAAACACTGCAGTAATCAAATGGAAAATTAATATGGTATGGTGCCTACTTTAAAAAGTTTAGTCTAATTAGGGAAGAAAAGACATGTGTAGTTAATAAAGAAAATGCTACTAAAAAAGTACAGCCTAAATTTATAAAGGTTCAGCCGAGGAAGAAATTGTTTCCAGCACTTGAATTGACCATGTAAGGATGGCCACATTTAGACAGATGAAATGGGTATCTTAGCAGAGAAGTCAATGTGAGTTAAATGCATAGAAGTGAGAAAGTGGAAGGTATTTATAAGGAGAAAGAAATAGTTCTGTGTGTGTCCATGTGTGTGGGGGTGTACTTGGGGGACAGTAGTGAGAACTGCAAGTATAAAACCGAGATGTTTCAAATGCTAGAAAGACTTTTGGAAAGGAAAAAGACTGCAATTTATTTGGAAGGTTTCTTAGCAGAGGAGTCCAAGTCTGTGCTGCAATGTAATGATGTGGGTGCAGGGTAACTTCAATTAGTCTTAATTTTCCAACATTCTCATAAACATATGTACATACATAGAAACATACATACGTCTTAAGTATTTTAACGTGACCCCTGATGTTGATGGAATCTTCTTTAAAGTCTACGCGGATATTTTACACAGTCCTGTAACTCATTCCAACCTTTTTTACAGCGCCTGATATATACTTTCTCAATACATGCTTTATCTAGAGCACAAGCATATCAATAAAATGTGTAACTTAAATGATCAAAAAAGTTGGTGACAGTATTGCTTAGAAATGAAGACTCCCCATATAAGTTGTCTTGGACCAGGTTGCAAGGCCGCGGAAAAATTCTGCGAACACCTCCAACTCTGCGCAACCACACCTCCGCGACGCCCACGGAGGACGCCGGAAGCCGGGCTGGCGGGCGGAAAAGGCGTGGCTGTTGCGATCGCGCGCGCGCGCGCGCTTACCAGCGTCCAACCAGGACCTCGGGGCGGAGCAAGGCCTTCCCAGCCCAGAGGCGGCCGACCCACCCTTCTGTCTGGCGATTGGTGAGTTGGCAGCCTCGGGGGCGGGGATTAGAGGTCTTCTCACCATCCTCTCCAATGGGAATGAGACAGAGGCAGGCCTAGTGGCGGAAGGAGCATGGCGTGGAGACAGCTGAAAGTGAGTTTAGAAAATGGGGCTCTTGCAGTGGCAAGAGAGAGTCCGAGTGAGAGCAGGGCTAGTGGGGAATGCAGGGCTAGCCCCGGCGAGGTGTGGACGGGAGGCGGCCCCGAGAGCGTGGGCGCTTTTGTGTGTGTGTCTGCAAAGACTCGTGAGTGTGCATTTGTTCACGTGTACTTGGTCAGTGTGTAAACGGCACATGCGTGTCTGGGTCGATGTCAGCGCACGTGGGACAAACTTATTGAGCCTGGCACAGAGGAGCTCAGTGAATACACCTAGCACTGTGTGCAGCATCCAACGTGGAATGAAATTACAATAAGACACGTCCCAATCCTAGATAAAATTTTAGGGCAGGGGCTCTATGTAATAAACAGTGCTCAGATATTTGTTGATTGACATTAAGGGGCGTTCCCTCAATCTGGAAACAAGAAGTGAGACTATAATGAATACTTGATCTGTATCAATCAACAGCTAGGAGTGATCCTTAAAGGCAAATCTGATCATGTCACTTCCTTGTTTAGGAAACAAAACCGAGACCTTAAGTCTAGCCAAGACCTCTCTGCCTGTCTCCCCAACTTCTTTTTAAGCCATACGTTTACTCCTCGGTTCCAAACCTTTCCTCTTCCCCCATTCCTTGGGTGCATCACGGAAAAAGCCCTTTGATTTTTTTCTTACCCCCAGTGCCTCCTAGTTAACTCCTATTTACCCTCTGAATATCAGTGTCACTTCCTCAAGGAAGTCTCTACCTACCTCTTTTATAAGGTTGGGTTCTTCCATTACCCTATATTATACTTTTTTCTTCATAGCAATTGTCACAGTTACATATTTGCATGATCATTGATTTCTGTCTCCTCATGAGATTGTATTCCCATGAAGGCAGGACTTGGTCTGTTTAGCCCACCTATGAATGCTCAATCACTACTTGAATTAATG